CTCCATTAAAAGAATAATCATCAGGATTAGAATGTAGCAATCATTCTGAGCTAATCATCGAAATTAGAATGTTGGATATTTATTATTTGATAGGCCATAACAAAGTTTCAAGGTTTTATTGGGCTTGAGAAAGGACATAGAGCCCAAAGTAAACCTAATTTAGATAAAATTACAAGATTGTCATCGAAGGTATTAAGGTTTGTAGCACTCTTTCTTCTTTCGGTCGAGAGTTTTGACTATCAACTAAAAGATCGTAATTCGTAAGCTTAAGTCTTACATATTTGATATTTGTATGAATTTGCTGTAATTAACCTAAATGTCCCAAAAAAATTAAGGTTATCTTTCATAACCTTCCTTCCCAATAGAGACCAGGAATTGCGGAGCTCTAGAAAAACTAAAAAAATGAAGGAAATCCATTTCAACAAAGTGCGTCAATCTCTTATTTATAAGCAAGTATTTGATGACATGAACAAAATATATAATTTTAAAAATCAAAATTAAATTGATTGATAAATATTTATGATAATTTTATAAAAGAACTAACTAATCAAAACATATTTTTGTTTATATTCTTTTATGTTTTTTATAGTAAACTTATAAAGATATAAGAGAATCATATAACTAGATGTACAAACAAATATAAAAAAAAATTAGGTTCAAATCAAGTCACCCTGATTCTAGTTAAAGCTAATTCAATTTGCTCGATCTTAGCTTAAACGAGGCCCACCAATCTACAAATGAAATCATCTTAAAGATGGCGGCCACAATCAAGAAATCTTTCCAAGTAGATGGGTGTGGCCCATCAGCCAACCCCAATGAGTGGCTCTATGAAGTCAACCCCGTCCACGCAATGTTGTCCTGTCCATGCGGGTGCACACAAATGCACATGAACCCTAACCCATGCGGGTTAGGGTGTCAAAAACTTCAGATTTTTCTTTCATAGGAAAAATCCAAGAGAATCGTGAAAAATCATCCACGAAAAGCACATAGTAACGATAGCCTTGATTAGAGACAACCGGGGCCGGACCTCAGACATCAGAGTGAACAAGAGATAGCGGAGCGTTGCTACGATTATTAGAATTTTCAAAAATGATTTTATGACATTTAGATTGTTTACAAGGTAAGCAAACAGCATGATCAGTGTTTATTTTCAATGAAGGATTACACTGAGATATGTTTTTCATCACCCTTTCGTGAGGATGGCCTAATCTATGATGCCAAGTGATAGAATTCGCAGTTACAGCAGCAAGACCGATGCCTGTTGAAGACTGATGGAGGTTCCGAATTGGATATAACACATTTTCACATGGGCCTTGAAGAAGGACCTGTTGGGTCTTCATATCCTTAATCATTAAACCAGTAGGATTAAAAATAATTGTGATATTATTGTCTTGAGTAAGTTTAGAAATGGAAAGCAAATTGAAATGTAAAAACGGTGTGTAAAAAATTTGAGATAGGAGTAACTTACGGTTGGGAGTCGGTAACAAGCCATTGCCGGTTTTAGCAATGTTCACCGATCTCCCATCACCTACAGTCACCGTGTCGGAGCCTTGATATGGTGTTGCGATAGACATGTTGTCCAGCGAGTTAGTGAGATGATTGGTAGCTCCCGAGTCAAGAAACCACTCGGAATAGGAGTTGTCTGAGCTTGCCGCTAGAGCCCTGGGTTGCGACTGCTGTTGTCGAGGAACGTAATTGAGATTCGCTCGATGCCAGCAGCTAGATGCAAGATGTCATCTTTTGTCTCATATTTGACAGATCACTTGAGATGTGGATGAGGAGCGAGATGTGGTTGTTTGAGTAGTCGTTGTATTCATTGGTGCCCTGCCACGAGAGCGCCTGCCTCTGCCACCAGTAGTGAACAGTGCCGCATGAGGATCCGGCAAGGAGGCAGCACGAGCATTGTCAGATGCGATATTAACTTCTTCACTAAGAAGTAGAGGATACAGCTGCTCGAGAGAAATAGGCGTTAACATCGTTCGGATCGACGTCTTGAAAGACTGGTACGCCGGTGGTAAGCCATTAAGAATGTATAGAATTACATCTTCATGATCCACTGTTGCGCCAGAAGCCGTGATTTGATCAACAATTTTCTTGATCTCAAATAGATATTCACTGATAGATTGGTTCTTGAGAGCAATGTTATGAAGAGAGTTTTTGAGTTGTATGACTTTTGACCTATTTGTTGATTGAAATCTTGATTCAAGCATAGACCAAATTGCTGCAGTAGAATCGAGGTGAACAACATAGGGCAGAATAGGCGAGGTGATCGTAGAACAAAGAGCAGCGGCGAGATTTTGATCCGTTAGGAGCCATTTAGTGCGCTGTCGATTTTGCGTTGAAATGCCGTCGGATTGAGAAGTTTCCGCAGCCGGGGAGGAGAAAGAGGAGTCAAGAAACCGATCAAACCCGTTTGCACGAAAATTTTTTGCAATTTGTGCTTTCCATATGGGATAGTTGTCGGCATCTAGTTGAATGGAGATGATCGTCTTCAAATTGGATACGATGAACTTTAGCGCTGATGGAATCGTCGATTCTTCTGCTTCCACCATTTCCGATTTCTCTCTTGTATCGGAAATGGCAGAACTCATTTCTAAGCAATCTCTTCTTGCCTAGCTCTAGATACCATGAAGAAACAAGATCGCAGGCATTTCTCAGTGAAGATCAAGAAGAGATGCAGAAACAGGAATTAGAAAATGTAACTCTTATTTTCATATCAAACAGAAAGTGATTACAGCTATATATAGATAAAGCAAAAGCTAATGACCAATGAACTAAAGCCACCTCATCTATTTACAGGACTCAATACAAATAATTATTTATTTGTTTGTCTGTATATACTTTGACAAGGTCGGGTCAACTCGGTAACCCACACAGATCGGAGCTAACCAATTTATAAAACCGAGTCAGGTTAGGATCAAGCCGTTTGAACCCGGGTCAACTCAAGTTAGATCCGAACCCAACCCATCGACCCAAATTGACACTACTATCTTCAAGCATCTTACTCTAAATTTTTTCTCTATTTTTCTACTCTATTTCTGATAACTCTCCACTCGTTTACTCATAATTCTCCCGTATAGTCAACAAGTGCCAGTCTTCGATAATTTTGAATTCAATAGAAAAAATTTGAAATTCGCTTCATAGTGGCGATGAGCAGTCTCCCCATTGCAATTACAACAAGAAGAAATTCAGCAAATGAAGGAGACAAACTTCGTTCAAAATTGATCCAAAGTTCTGAAGGACAAGTTATAAAGGTACCTTACTCTTTAAGATGCCAAGCATTTCTGCAAGGTAACTGTCATGAACACAATAAATGCTGAACAAACAGTTATGCCTCAAAACATCTATTATGACAGGACCACAGTTCTGATCCACTGCCATGATATGATCCACTGTGTTCACATGCTCTCTCTTGCCTCCCATACAGTGGGACCAAGTTCAATCATGGCTTTTATATCATAGATTTAGCTACTTGGAGCCATCTACTCTGATCATGGATCAGTCTACTGAGAGATTATTCTATGCGGATATCAGACGGGAGAACTGCTAGGTACCACGCAGAACCGTCCGGTACCGCTCGGTACCGATGCTCGGTATCGCGCTCGTTACCGAGCACGGTACACTTTTGGGGTGACATGATACATTTTTATTGGTCTCTGAACGATGTCCGGATTCTGCACAGAATAATTTGTCCTTCAGTGCATCTCAGTGGGCCTGCAGTTTATTTGAGGGATGGATCATAGTAATGATGTCTTTAGAGCAATGCCAGCAGGCAATAGCTTATGAGAGCAGAATTCATCAATCTGCGGTCCCAACTTCTGTCATGATCAGTGTTAAAATCATTTTTGGTCCCGAAGAATCGTAAGTTTTGGAAGATATTACCAGCAAAGAGAACAAAGAGCATTTGTAGGGAACATTCTTTTCCAGATTGAATTGGCTTTCATGCAGTGGTAATTCTGGCATTAGAAAGTGGATATTGGTTGATATGAATCTTACCAAAGCATTGTTCCGGAATAGGGCTGCAAACGAACCGAGCAGAGCCGAGTATGTGAGTGTTCATGTTTGTGTTCATTTAATATCAGGTTGTTCAAGTTTGGTTCATGTTTGTTCGAGCTTTATTGTTTGTGTTCATGTTTGGTTCATTTAAATTAATGAGTGTTCATGTCGGTTATGTTCAGTTCATATTTGTTTCTTAGTGCTTTCGAGCTTTAAAAAACAACATGAACGAGCTATAAACGAGTTAGCTTTAGATGTTCATGAACTTAACAAACGAGCTCTATCGAACTTCCTAACAAACAATTATATCGAGCATGTTCGCGAACATATCTAACGATTTTTTTTTAATTATCAAACAACACGTTCTATAACATATCTTCGAACCAAATTATTTATAATAAAGCATTGTCTATGTAACAAAGGCATGATTTATAAGAAATCTCATCTCACATAATTTTCCAACAAACATCATTATAAAGGCAATGTTTTATAAATAAATAGCCATATAAATACTAAATGTTTTGACATTGCTATCATTCACTAAATTTAATAAAAAATACTTAATTAACATATAAATATAAAATTTATTATTTTAATTTTTATTATTTAACAATTTATATCATTATATTATAAAATATAATATTTTATATTATTATATTTATAAATTTCTATAATCAAATATTAATTATTTTTATCGAGCTTATTCATGAGTTTAAAATCGAACATGAATCGAGCTTCTTATCAAGCTTAATTTCGAGCTTGTTCACGAACTTCAAATGATGTTGTTCGCGAACATAAATGAGCCGAACGCATTATTGTTCAAGTTTGTTTATTTAAGAATCGAGTATCTAAAATATTGTTCAAATTTGTTTGTTTAGTTAATTAAACGATCACAAAAGAGCTTTAATCGAACTGAACAACGAGTAGCTCGTCGAACGTTTGGTTCGCTTGCAGCCCTATTCCGAAAACCTTTTCATGCTGTGAAACTTTGACCAAAAGTTTGCTTGCTTTGTTGCAGGCTGAGATATACGATTTAACGGCACAGACAAAGTGACAGGCAAAGCTCTAAAATTTAAAATGTGCAAACTTAGGCTTCAAGAAGTGGCCAGTCTCTCAAACTAAAATACAAGTTCTACCAGGTGCAGCTCACCATCAAACCTCAACCCAAAAGGTTCAGCAGGATGAACTATGCCATCAACCATCCCGCCGAAAATAAAGAGATGAAATCCAGATACGTCAGTACACGCGCCATGGAAGGATCTAAGATTAGGGCAGTGCCCTTCCACCTCAAGCTTCTTCCACATTCTTCTCAAGTATTTCTTCAAACCTGTTGTTTGAAATCTTGATAGGGAACCCAAATTTAGCATCCAGAAGTCATCTTTTCGATGTCTTTGCGAGTCTTCGCCGCCATATATAAGAATATTTCCACCAACCATCATTGTTGCAGAGTGACCGACGCGAGGAAGAGGCCTATCTGGTAAATTAGGTGAATCATACTTGAGCTCTTTCCATTTAGGATTATCTCCTCCAATGTCTAGAATCCACAAATCATTCAGAACTTCAAATCCTGATCCCCTTCCACCAAAGAGCACTATCCGTTTGTCGCCGATCCAGTTAATGGAATGACCAGAACGAGCCGGAGGCGATGGTCGGATGTTCATAACTTGATGCCATCTTGCACTTTGGCTTTCAGATAAGTCAAGTAGCCAAGTGTCATTCAATCGAAGACCATATAGTCCTATGCCGCCATGGATCACTAATTGTCGGTTTTCGATGCAACACGCAGCATGTGCACCACGAGCAGGAGGTACAACGGGTTCCAAATCCAAAAGCCTCCATGATATTTTAGCCACTGAGGATCCTTCTTCAGTGACTTGACCAACCCATGTATCATTTTGGCGTACTCCGTTGTCATTGATGCCACCAAATAGAACAAGGAGCTTGCCTAATACGGTACATGTATGCCCAAATCGTCCACTTGGAGTGCCTGAATCAACCAGCTTCCAACTGAGGACCCTGTCAAATCCATTTCCTATCTGTGCTACCCATGTATCATCCAGATGACGGCCTAATAAAGAAGAAAAAAAAATTGTGAAAAGCTCTATATTTGAAACCACAGTGGAGCATATTCAACCACTAAAACGTCAATACGACATCAAATTCACTCCAAAATGGCCTTCGACTTTATTTTTTTCAAACTGCATGCAGTATTCACATATATTACCGTCTATATATGTGAAATAAGCAAAGGTAGTAAAGAGAATTCTGACGAAGGATCAATTGCAACAAACACAAATGAATGCCAAATTGATTGTGCTGTATATTTCCTGAAACCATTTTTTCCATTCCAATATCCAATCAATGAAATGATGGAAACTGAAATGCTGCTGCATTCCTTTTATTAAGAAAGGTCATTAAAAAAAAAATCACCTATTTGCACAGTAAATCCTTTAACCTAAATTCCTTCAAGAGCCCAATCCCTTCTAGCTTTCAAAGTAATGCTCTCATAGAAAAACAAGGCTTACAGATTGAACTTACAGAAATTGACTGGAAAAAAAATACCAAGTTCCCCATGCATAGAGGGAAAAACTCAGCACATAATACTTTAAAAACCACATCCGGTTTAAATTACCAAGTATTGTGAAACCATTTGATGCAGTTCTCTGCCCCTGAATAGGAAACTCCTAAATTAAGTTTATGTTTCAACACTAACGAAAAACAAGAAAAGATGTCCTAACGATAAATGTGAAACTGTTTAGTTGGTTTCGTTTTGAATGTAAATTAAAATAAGGGGTTTTCAAAATTCAAGCATGCAAAGTATTTTGGGAGTATGTTTGAAAAACACCCTCTAATTCATTTTGGGTGTATTTTAAATTCGCCTATATTTTGAATGAATTCGAAATACAAAGCTTCGAAAAAAGTGAATTTCAGTCACCGCTATCCAGTGCCGTTGACAATCACCGGTAGCCGCCCACCGCCTTTGTCGTCAACCAACTTCAATAAGCCATTATATTCACTGTTGATTAATTTTACAATCTCTTACTTCAAACCAAACAAAAAAAATAGCAATTCTACTGTACTTAACTAAATAACTCATAAGTATTTTCAATAACTACATTTACTTTACACGGCATTCCGTTTTCATAAAATCAAACCCCTAAATACATTCATGCTATTTCAAATTAATTTCCATTATATATATATATATATAAGATCTTCAATTGCTCTAGTAGTTTCTACGGCTTCAACGACAATCTTCCTCCATGATGACAATCCTCCTGCGAGTTCTAGCAACAATCTTTTCCATGACGGCAATCTTTTTGTGAGTTCTACAACTTTGACTTCCAATACCCGCCTCTACAACAATTTCGGCTTCCTCCTTGACTTCCTTTTGTGACCAGTGCTTGCTTTCCCCTATTACTCCAACACCTTCTCATTGTTCGGCGTCATTCTTGTCTCCAACTCATCTACCTTCACCGTCTCATGAGGGTTTGTTTGTCATGGCTATCTTTATTATAATTACAGGACTTGCGAACATCATAAGACTTGTGGTTGTCTCCTTGCACCTACAAGATTTTCAAGTTTCCTCCATCACCGAGCTAGGGATTTGTGAGGTTCTCGTAAGATTTATAATCTTATTATAAGTCTAGTGGTTTTTTTAATTTCAGTTGGGATCATGATAGTGGATATGTGACTACTCGGGATTTTGGATACGTGGCTTGTCATAGATCTTTCTATTGCAATTGTGTAGACCCGTAAGCCCTCGCATTGAGATCTAAAATCACATAACAAATACCTTCATCTCTTTCTCAAACCATCTTTATCTCTCTCTTCGAAAGCCGATGTCACCAAAGCAATCTTGTGTTAGGGTTGTGCCCTAAAGAAATATTATTGTAATACATTTTCTATGGAAATAAATATTTAAAGACAAGTTTAGCATGTTTCGATATTATCATTTGATATAATATTTTTGTTCCATGATTATTTATGCAACCATAATTCAGTATATAATTATATATAAGAGGATTGAATTATGGATAATAATCAAAACAAATTCATAATTATTAATTATAGTAGGAATCTATAATTAAATATTATTAGTACGGTCCATCAACATTAAGAATAGAATAATCTTATCCGGATTATTCGATATGGAGATATTAAGGATGAAGGTACTTTATATAATATGATTATATAGAACTGGACCAGATAAATTTTGAATTCTCTAATAAATTCTGTTTTAATTATAGAGAATTTAAAATTAATCATAAAGATGATCATATATAAAGCAATCTTAATCCTGAGTTATTAATAAACTCCTATTTGTGACATTTAGTTTTTTGATTTACTCGGAAATAGTTTGGAAGAAATAAACTCAATCCTTGTATTTCAGAAACACAAATGAAACAAATGGCTGGGAATGTTAATATACAGATATGGAATCCATTCCTTTCAATTTTGAAAGTTAGAAAATTAGTTCCCTTGAATAATTAATTCAGAACTTGAACAATTGAGCGCTCAAATTTTATGATTAGGTCATAAAGTTTATTGTTCATTAGAGAATTAATTGGAATTCAAGGATTAAGATATAATTAGTGAGGTGACAGAATTACCTAGCTCTAATTATGAACTTTTTATGGAGGATTATTTTATATGTAATGATTAAATCAATGGACGATTCAATTTTTTAATTGAGTAAATTATACTATAATTTCAAGAGTGCAATTTCATATTTATAGTGGAATAATATTGAAATTAATAATTTTGATTTATTAATTTAAGAGTTAAATTAATAATCAAATTTATTGGAGCTTGAATTATAGGTCCATATGTCCCTTCTTCATCACCTAAGCTCTATTTTGTATTGAACACTAAGAATGTGACATAATATAAATGTTAATTATGATCACATTAATAACATATTTATGATCACCTTTTAATTTTATATTTCATGAAGATAATGATGACTCATCATTAATTTTTTCTTAATATTAAAAGATAAAGATAAGATTGATGATAAGTCATGATGTGTCATGATAATTATCATCAAATATCTTTTAATATTAAAAAGATATAGATAAGATTAAAGATAAGATTGATGATGTGTCATGATAATTATCATCAAATATCTTTTAATATTAAAAAGATATAGATAAAATTAAAGATAAAATTGATGATGTGTCATGATAATTATCATTTTAATATTAATTTAAAATGCTTCATGAAATACTAAGAGGTGCTTATGAAAACATGTTAATTTTTCTTATAAATAAGAATAAAGTTCTACATGAATATGATGATACATAATTCCTTCATGAGAGATGGAAGAATATGTATGAGAAGAATGTTACTCTCATTGTCTTTTCTTTTGAAGGATTAAATTGTGTTTAGAACACAAATTAGATTCAAAAAAAAAAGTGTTCATCAATAATTGATTGATTGTGCCCACTCAATAAAATATATTTTGTGGGGTGATTAGAAGAAGAAGGCTTACGGTCTCAATTAACGTTTCGACGAAGAAGATTTCAAATCTCAATCAATAATTCGATAAAGTTTTCTTTATTTCATATTATAAAGTTATTTATTAAGAAAATTAATATTGAGAATGCCTTAATTTAATTTTCTAAAAATCCTGATTTTTATTTCCGCATTTTATATTATGACATAAAAATTCCAACATCTTGAAGGTACTCTATCCAAACGTTCTCGCTTGAACCAAATACACGTTGAACGATGCTCTCACCAAAGGATGTTCTTGCCTTTGACACCATGCAATAAGGTTTATAAGGCTTCAATGAAGGAGAAAAGTTTAATAAATGCAAATTCATCATTCTTTTACATGAGACTTTTTTAACTTATGGTTCTGATAACTTACATTTAAGTAGTAGTGTATACATGGTCATGATGAGAGTGATGAGAAAGATTATGATTTAGGAAATAATTATAATGTTGATAAAGAAAATGATATTTTTTTAACTTATGATAATGATTCTCAAGATGACTAGTTTAATTTCTTAAGAAAATATTAGACTCGTAAAAAAATGTAATATTTTAAATTTTAAGTGGTTGAAGCACCGAGACACTTAAACTTAAGGGTCACTTTAGTTAATTTTATTATCATGACATTTTACCTTTCAGTTTAACAGTCTTTCGTAACTAACTACATTTTTATATATAATATGTTAAGATTTTATGCCATATTTCAAATAGCAAGCATTGCATCATGTGTAATGTGTTATGGCTCCACGAGGACCATTATGTATATTTCATTGTTTGTGATTGACAAGGGCATTACAATTATAAATAAGAGTCATAGGTTTGTAGAAAACTCGATGTATTATTATAAAAAATAAAATAAAAATAAAAATAACTTACGTAAGACTTGATATTCTTTGTGTCCTAGAGTTGAATCAAATATCAAGTGTAAGACTTAAAATTTTCAAAAGTGAATAACACCTTATACAAGTGTGGGCTTTGATTCTACTGCTTTAGCAACTTCTTTACTTGAAAACTACGCCTTTTTGTTTTGTAAAGTTGTTATTGGCTTGCATTTGGAATTAGTTATATCAACTTCGATATAATCTACTACATAATTTTCATCTAATTACATGATATTTTCATGGTTCTGCATTTCTAAACTATTGATTTATAATCTATATTGATTCCCTTCATAAGCCTTCAAAAGAAAGCAACAAATAGTAATTGAAATTAAGAGCTTATATTGTATGAATTATAAATATTTATATGATTTTGTCCATCTCATATTATAAATATTTATATGAGTTTGTTCAACATCAAAAAATCTAAACTCTAAGACATCCTACATTAGAATTAGCATTGGAGCTTACGATTTATTATGATTTCAATTAAAAGTAAAACTTAAACCATAGTAACTAAGGAAAAAAATGATGTAATTTAAATGAAATCAATTTAATTATGATCCTAGAAATATTACAATAAAACAACAACAAGCCTTTATCCCACTACGTAGAGTTGGCTATATGAATCCTTTTTCTCCATTGTGTTCGATTAAGAGTCATATTCTCATTAAAAATATTATATTTCACC